AGAACCTGCGCATCCCTCCCCCGGCCCCCGCTCAGCCCGTGGGTTTGTTCCAGCAATCTGGCTTTCGGCTGAAGAGAGGAGATGGTTATTTCTCTTACCTTGGCTTAGAAAAAAAAAAAAAAAAAAAAAAAAATTCTATTTTTAATTTCTAACATTTCTGGTTCAAAGGTCGTAACAAAGCAACATATGCTACTGTTTGCTCCCTGACAGGATCGTGTTAGGACAGCTCTACCGTACTTCTTAACTATTGAAGCACCGACCAAATTGTTCATGAATTTTCATAGCCTAGACCAGGCTCACACCAGTTGGCCAGTGAGGGCCTGGGCAAGGTTATAATAAAGCCATACTTCCACTCTTGGCATCCTTTTCTCTCGGATTTATGGCTTTGCTCCTACAGCCAGAGGTATTATAATTAATTTTAGGAGCCCTCAGATTTTCTTCTGTCACTTTGCCCTGTTATTTTTTCGAAACAGTGCGCTTTTGGCAGCCCCCCAGTCCACAGGCAGTACGCTCCGTAATTCAGCTCCCTATTGTGCAATGAAATACTTCTGTACTCCTTTTGTTTGTTTTCGGTCCGTCCTTTGGAGAGCTCATGTGATGCTAGCGAGATTTCTGCATTACGGAAGACTGTGAATAACCATCCCTCGGTCACTTTCTCCATGCCTCTCATGATTGTGTTGACTTCTGTCACATCCTCTTCAGTCCAGGCTAAAAAGGATCCTAGTTTAGTCCTAGTACAAAGCACGTTCCTTATCTTCAATCATCCATGTTAGACCTTTTCCAATTCTATTTCTCCTTGAACAGAAGAAAGGAGACAAACGGAACGCTATTATCCAATGTTTTAATGAAGTTTTCCATTTTGTTCTCTATGCCTTTCTTACTGATTCTTAACCTAATTTTACACATATTGTACTTACACATATCGTACCTGTACTGTGTCTATCAGTTTCATGTATGTGTGAAATCAGGTACATTCAAACAGAACTATTCACGTGCTGAAATGATTTGGCGGTTGCCAAAAGTTCAGCTTTAACTCCCTACAACTCACACAACGAAGGTGTGTCCAAATATGCACAAGAATTATTAATACTACAAACTTCACGTACATGTATTATTTGCTCTTGGTATAGAGCAGAGTAGGGTAAATTTAATTAAAGTGAACATTGTATATGAATTTCTGGAGAGATTAGGTCATTCTCAAGATGATGTTTTTAACAAGTTCCTAAATGTTTACAAACGGAAATCTGATCTTTAGCTCGATAGTAACACAACGACAAAAAAGCAAGTAGCACATGTTTTTGGTAATTTCCTTGTAGAGCTTTTGTCAAATGGAAGGGCCCTCAATTTTTCTGTCACTCCAAATTGTAGTAAATTACAGTCCTAAGTTAGTAATGTACACAGGCTTGGCCTTAAATCATTCAATTAGGCAACAAATGAATCATTCTGTGTCCTCAGTTCAGACAGCAGCTTTTGTAGTACTGATAGCTAATTAACCTTCCCCCGCGGCAGTACCTAGCAACTTCACGGATTTGTTTTATAACCGTACATGTTTCAGTACATTACATTATTAGGAGAATACTCTGATCTTATCTTTTCTCTTGAGCCTAATGTTCAAAATATTACAGCCATCTATAAATAAACTAGGCTACAAAATGCTGAAGTTGACAAATATTTACTTGGGCTTTACCAATTAAACAATGTAACTCTCTGTTCCACTGAAAAATTAGACTGAACATAGTTAATGAAATTTTAATGTAATAAATTACCTACTTGTTAAAAATAAGATATATGGCAATGTTTATGACAATGGATTTTCAAGAGCTATTCTTTTTTGTAGGTTTTGCACTCCTAAATCTTTCAAATTACGTTAATTTAAATGTTGTTTCCAACCTCTCTTCTCAATCACAGAATCACGAATTTATATAAGCGTTAATGGAAAGGTGTAATACATCTGCACGTTTTTGGACAAATACACATATTAGAGTCCTTTCTAAATAAGCAATACAGAAATACTCCTAAAGAAGACAGGAACTAATCATGGATTACAGAAATGATCTTCTTTTTTGTCATATTTTCAGACAGTCCTCTAACACAGACTCCGGTTTTTTCCATACTTTTCCTGATAGGATTTGGCATTCGGTGTAAAAACTTAAGGAGTGAAAAAATCCAACCCCCTGAAGGTAACTTCTGAAAATACTAGCTTTTATCTTACACATTAAGAACCATTAGGATTTTTGTTCCTTTATTTCTTTTTTGGAAGAGGAGGGGTGCAAAAGATTGCTCTTCAGTACCTATTTTAAACCTATGACCTATTATACCTATTTATTACCTATTTTAAAGTTCTCAGTGCATGTTGGTTTCCTGCAGGGACCTCCTGGGGGTTAGCAGCATAATCCTGTGTAAAAAACCCAACTTTGAGTACGTACTTTGCAAACGGGTATGGGCTTGATTGTGCTTCCAGAGAAGATTTTTACAAGTTCTGCCTTGGCTTTCTCTGGAAACCTTCGTGTTTCCTGACCGCTGACAATCCTGTGCCCACAGGATGACAACTGGGCAGAGGCGATACGGTGTTAGGGATACTGCGAAGGGAGATAATTTGTGCTTTTCTGCCTGCTTTCCAGCTCGTGAGGTTCTGTGCATCACAGATGGAACGGCGGGCAGCCTGACCGACTGCTGTATTCATTTCCCACCCTCAAACAGGGAAACTCTTTGCACAGACGCACGCTCGCCCGCTGACACCGCCTTCACCAGCACTGCCCTTATCTGTGCAGTGCTGTGTGTACCTCGGCACAGTAAAGAGGGAGGAACTGCATTACTGGGAGACAGTTTTACAAAACCAGTCAAAAAGTCTAATATACTTGAAGTCAGTTGAAGGAAAAGGGATGTTTTTACTTGCAAGTTATTGTACTAAACATAGGCATGTGACTTATCTCAGCTCTCCCAGTGTTTCCCCTGTTCATGTGACTTTGGGTTTAGGTTACTCAAAAGAAAGAACTCAAAATTTCCAATTTGGCTTTGTTTCAGTGTATAAATTAGGAAACAGTGAAGTAAGACAATGTGACTGTAATATATATGAGATGGTTCATCTTGTCCTTCAACTAATGTCTAGAACTGCTGGCTCCTGTTCTGGAGGGCTGTCTCTTTTATCCCAAGGCATCAAGGTTGGTTTCAAATTAGAGTAGCCACAGAATTCATTTATAAAATGGGTCACCATTTTTTAACATAAAATATACAAGGAGATGGATAAGAAATAGCTTCTTTTAACCACCTGAATTGACATGGACTCTAAGTTAGGTAGCCCTAAGTGTTTCAGTGTAGAGGCTCCTTTGAAAGATTTTAACTGGGAAAATATATTGGATGTTAAACATAAATATATTGCCTATGCCTTGGTATTAGCATCGCTTTTTGCAAAAAGCACGAGATGAAATTGCTGCAGTTCTTCAGGCAGATTGATGAAGGGGGCTGGATTTGTCATAATGACCAGGGGAATACGCCAACATCCCACGGACACAGCTTGTCACCTGTGGTCTGCAGGGTCCAGTATGACAGAGAAAAGGGCCTGAGGATTTACAGAGCAGGTTTTGATTGGAGTGAAAAAGAAAAATGCAGAACTGTAGTGCTGTCAGACCCTGCTCCCATTAAAGTCAACAGCAAAATTTACCTTGAATTCATGGGAAGTTGACACAGATCCCAAACCCAGGCTGTACCACCAGGCTATAATCCATGACCTACATCTTGCCACCAGTGGCAAACTGAAATTCAGACTAGAAGCTAAAATTTCACTGCTCGCTTCTGGAGTGTTGGAGAACTGTGTGGCAAACCAGAAACACGCAGTTTCTCACTCCGGGAATGAAAGACCACCCCAAAGGCAGGATGCCCATGGAAATTGCACATGCAGAGGCCACGGCGTGCCTGTTGTAACGCTCACGCCATTGGAAGCCTTCCACTGGGAAAGTCTCAAGACAGAACATCTATTTTAGCAACTCACCTTTTCGCCTTAAGCATCCTGACAGTAAATGTGCTGTTCCCCTGTGCAGGCAGACAGGCTGCAGCTCCTGTAAGAGTTCATCAGGAATAGCTAGGTTACGCCATGACACGGTTCTTGGAGGTGCCATCTCTTTCTGTCCTATAAGTGCATCTGCTTTCCACTTGTTAGCCTTAAAATGATAATAGCATCCAAACACTGCAGGTGCTTTGTAGGCATTTAAAAACGGTTCTCTCCCAGTTTACAGTCTTAAAAAAGAGGGGGAACATGGAACAGGGAGGGCACAAACAAACAGAACCCCATGGCCCTTACCCCAGTTGAATGCCTCTCGCTGTTCAATAACAACAGCAAACAATTTTCAGGACTTCTAACAGAATCTGGGCCGTCCCGATGTCGTTGTGCTACCGGCTGCTATGTGTGTACCTACCAGCTGATGGTGCTGCGTGCTGTCAGGCTGTATTGCGTTTCCTTCTTTGCAATGGAACGGAGCCTTCTCCTCCGGAATTCTCGATAACGGGAAGAAGGAGAGGAGATGAAACAAGAGTGGCTTTCTATCCAGTATCGTCCCCAGCTGTGTGGGTTGCTACGTGGAATTATGCAGCCAATTTCTTTCCGAGCTTGTCCTCCACAGAGCTACACTGAAAAATGAACTGGAAATAGAAAAGCAGAGAAAGGCTTTGTGCAGCTGAGTAATGATTTACACATAAGGACACTGGGACAAATATTTACAACTGGAGAATTTCCACCTCTACTCTCCCCACTGGTCCTTGGCTTTCTGTAAGGGAAACCCCTATCCTAATTTAACCTTTCATTGTTTGAGGTAATCAGTTTCCATACTTAACCACCCTGGACAGAAGAAGTATTTCCATCTGTTACACATCATATGAAAATACAGTTTATGATTTACAATTGTGGAACATACCTTTGGCTGTGTATGGAAATAAACTACAGGGATAAACTACATAAAGCCATGGACCAAATTTTCACTCATACACGGTGCACTCCATCGTCTGTTTAAAGTTTACTGATGATAATGT